GGATTACATGAGAATTTTTCTGAGTCCTTTTACAGTACATCAAATTACTTATGGCCATTCTTTTTTCCCAACCAATGGTCTAGAATGGGCAATACTGTAGAAGAATTCAGGTACTATAATCAGGCTTCAAGGGCATTTGGGGTAGTTAATTACTATAAATCCTGCAATTGTTTCCACCAAAAGCAAGCTAAAGAGACTAGATTAGAATTTGAGGATCGATCCAACCATTCATTGATTCATTGTGGGTGTTGTCGATTTGCCCATTGTTTAGATGTACAGTGACAACCCCACCACCTCTCCCACTACCCTGCTAGCTGACGACGCCACCAAGGAAGAGGGAAGAGGAGCTAAGAAGCTTCATGGAGACTCTCAAGATGTAGAGGGCACAAAATGAGGGCCCTTCGTTACCGCTCCCATGTCCCTCTTTATTTGCCTTAGCCTCATCATTTTATAGAAGAAAAAAACTAATCCCTCCGCCACAAAATAAGTGTCTCAATTCGTACAACTTTTCTATAGTTTTTTTCAGTTAGACAAATAATAAAATACACAAAACAAATTAACCAAGCATGTACTCCCTTCATAAAGAAATATAAGAGCGTTTAGATGACTAAGTAGTGATCTAAACACTCTTTTATATTTCTTCACAGAGAGAGTAACAAATTGTCCCTTGAAATGCTAAAGGTGACCTCGGGAAGTTTAGATACCCGGTACCACACACACTCTTTTAAACATGTTTTCAAGCTCCCCCACTTCACCAAAAACATCGGCCCCATTCCATGGCAACTCCATATCAGTTTGGTGTTTTTAAGAACACCATTTCCATTAGCTAGACTACAATGTTATCAGACAACATTAATACAACATCCGATGCAGCCACATACAGAAAAAATACACTAATCTAAAGCCAGTAAATTTAGTGTTCGTCACAGGATTCCAGCAATATTTATCTCCCTTTTGCTGACATAGGAGGAACAGAGTTCCAATCCTCACAGCCCTCTGATGCTACCGACGAAGGTCCATTTGATTTAACTCATGGTGATAATAGGTTTCGGTTTCTCCTCCTCCTTGTTCTCAGCCGCTACAGCATGCGGTCTGCGCTGATGCTGCACAACCGCGAGTTGATCCACGAAAAGCAGTTCCCGTAAGTGATGAAGCTGCTCCCTCTCTTTCTCCATAAGCAGCTCTTTCTGCTCAAAACGGCTTATCTTATCCTGGATTTCCTTCATCTGAGGATGATTTAAAGCAATAGATAACAAGTCAATATAGACACCAACTTTTAAGCAGTAATATCTTGAAATCCCTATGTTGATACCTGGACATCCACTATAGCCGATAAAGATTGCTCTATATCTTTTTGCTCCTTTTGAAGTTGCACTTGTGCATTTGTGGATGCCTCTTTGAGTAAATCGTTGGCTGTAAGCCCATTAGTGTAAGAAGATTCTGCAGAGAAAACTAATTGAGCCAAGAGAAGAGCCTTTTGAATACTCAGAGTAAGTATTTCTAGGAAAGAATGGCAAACTAAATCACGGTGTGCATTTCAGCATGTAGCAGCAAGAATGTGAATTTGAATCGCGCCACATAAGGAACTTGGATACAGGTCCATAGCCTATTCTTTGCACATGCACCGATTATGACTTATCTTGTTGCTCCCGGCGCCAGTAGTGAAATGTAGCAAAACTATCAAATACATGTACGCATTCATGTAAAAACAATTATGTGAAATTTATTGATAACTATGTATTTGACCCTACAGAGTTAGGGGACTGGCACCGCCACTGCCTAGCGCATTACTTGAGCACTCTTGTTACCACACCCGTCAAATTATCATTGTTTGCACAGTGACAAGCAAAGCAGTATTTTTCATCAACAATGCAACATCAATAAGATAGAAGATGTCAAACTCATATGGGTTAGAAAGCACAAGTTGCTACCTTCTTCTTTAGTGCTGCTGATTGGAGAATCAGTCTGGCTGTCATTCATATCAACCTGGGATTGTGCAGAAATAGCTGCTTGCGCTGCTGCTGCTGCAACGCCTGCGCCAACAATTGCCGACAAGAACGCGACCTGGTAAAACAATGCAGTTCCATGATTTGCTCCATCAATAAATTTCCACGTTCAAACTAGATGACCATATAAGGCAGCTATTCAGGCATGATGGAGACCAGCATGTACACTTGTTTTGTGTACACATGTGCAAAAATTCTATGAATAGAAAATTCAGGAATTATTTTTAATTTCCTTGTTAAAAACTATCTTGAAGTTCCCGTAGTGTTTCGTGTCTGAAGAAAAGAACATAACTTATACATCAGAACCTGAACGTATTCAAGTACAGTACGTGTTTTCCATCTGTTCACATGAATAGCACAGCATAAGTGGAATGCTCAAGATATACTACAAGTTACTAGTACTCCCTCTGTAAACTAATATAAGAGCATTTAGATCACTAAAGTAGTGATCTAAACACTCTTATATTAGTTTACGGAGGGAGTACTAATTAACACAAAGACTAAGTTATACTCCCTCTGTCCCAAAATTAGTGTCTTAACTTTAGTACAACTTTAAGCTATAGATTACCATGCTCTATGATTACTGGTGCAACACTTGATATAGTAAGTTAGCAACATGTGACATCCACATGTGGTACCAAAACCGAATTGTACTCCAAACTGATCGTTACATGTTATCAATTCATCAAGTACAAAACAAGAGAAGATACCCCGCGCATTGCTGCAGGAATGTGTTGCAATTATTTCAGTGATATTTGGTTATATGAAACATCACTATAGGAAATAATAATATGAGAAATGAAACTAAAATACATATAATTTATTGTATTTGATGATTATACATCACCAAAGAGCTAGCTATGGACAGGGGTGCATGGAAGCTTGCTATCCATGTGCCAGAGCCATGAGTTGGTTGCGAGATCTTATGGGTTTCACCTCTAGCCTACCCCAACTTGCTTGGGACTAAAGGCTTTGTTGTTGTTGTTGTTGTTGTTGTTGTTGATGATGATTATATAGTTGTAGAATAAATATAAGTAGCATGCATGGTGCATATTAAGGTGGGCCTTTTCCCATGCATGGTGGTATGTTGAGTTGGCATAGTTGCATGTTAAGGGAACTAAGTTATTGGGGATCAATTATTTAGGTATATATAGGATGAGTGAGAAGTGCCCTACTCTTATGAATCATTAATTTTGAATACTGAACTGCTTGCACCAGTCAAGGGAGTTAGCAGCTACAAAAACAGGGCAAAGTCACAGATACAGACCTGAGCCATAATTGGATTGCTTGCATCTGCCAGTGGTGTGAGACGGAGTCGGTTTGGGATCTCTGCTCTAGATTCATTAGTAACATCATCAATCTCAAACTCCATTTTCTGCTCCTTGGATCCCATGAACTGTTCTCCAAAATATAATCGGATGAGTCTAGCAATGCAGTCTTTCTCCGAGCGACTACCAACATGCTCAGAAACCTTCTTCCAGTCTTCTCCATAATGCAAGACAGCCTCAAGTAGGTGAAGAGTTTCCTTGTCTGTCCAATCTGATTTGGCGTCTTCGCTAATTTCAACTTTCTTGAAGTCCGCTGGAGTAAGACCAGGCCGATAGTTGCCACGCACAAAGCATCTACAACATATGCTTATATCCGCCTGATCATAAGCAGAAGTAAGGATAGAAAATAGCAACTCTTCTAATTAAAATAGACAACAAATTGATAACAGTTCCAGCTAAAATATAAAGAATGATGTGATGACAGTAGCTCAACCGATACAATATAGCAGTCATGGACATAAAACAAAATCAAGAGGCAAACACAGGTCAAATAAAGTGTTCCAAGCTTCACAGACTCAAAAGTTGGATGCAATTACTACACTGTTTGCAAATATTTAATACTCCCTCCGTCCGGAATTAGTTGACGCTCAAACAGATGTATCTAGAACGTCTAGATACATCTGTTTGAGCGTCAACTAATTCCAGACAGAGGAAGTATATGATTTGTGATAATACCCTCCCGTTCATGGCATGTTTAAGTGAACTGGAAGTAGTTCAAAATGAGCTGTAGTAATCCATCTAACACAGTCAATCCAAGAGTGGCAATGCGCAAAGACACAGCAGTACAGTACAAATAAAAACAAAATCTTGACAATACAATATTCATATGAAGAGCAAGTACACTTGACTTAAATTTATAAGCAACTGTATACATACATATGCAATTACCAGTTCCCAAAACAAAAGATACACCATTAAGTTATCTGTTTGCTCATCTGTCCCGGCGCCCTTTCTATGGCACATACCAAACCAGCTAAGCCAAAACCAACGATCAACCAGGAATATCTCCAATCCGAGCACACAAATTTCTCAACACATGGGCAAACTCATAACTAGCGAACAAACGCTACCCCCGTGGCTTTCTCTATCAGATTAAGAACCCTTTACAAGATCTGCCTGGGCGTTGAAGATACCAGGATAGGTTGGGATGGTGTCAGGTTTAGAAGAACTTTAACTGGTGAGATTTTGGAGATTTGGGAAGAAGTTAGGGACTTGCGTGAGCACATTGAACTTACTAATGTGGCGGATTCAGATAACCGGACACTAGATCCAGCACATTGTTCGTGAGGCGGTGCGGACAGTTTTGCTTGTGGCTGTGCTTTTCACTGGCTTGTGTATGGTAGTTTGTAATGTTGCGGTATAGGATATTCTGTTTTCCACATCGCTGGTTTGCTGGTAGACATCGCCTTTTGTTTTATTTCCTTACTTATCTTCTGGCCTGTGTACCAGTTACTTTCCTGTTTACTTTCGTTGTACCTACTTTGATTTCTGGTAATGAAACCAAGGTTTTTCCCCTTGTTTAAAAAAACCGTTCCCCAATTACATTGCATAAATAATATGAATATCCATAATTTGCGGCTTAATGTAGTGCTTTTTATAATGGCACAAAACCCAAACAGGTTGCTATAGCCAATTGGAAATACTCATACGGATGAGCTAAGATAGTTCTAACCAGATACTACAAATGATGCATACGATGCACATATTACATAACCTGAAATGCAAGTTTACACAGCACTTGAAAATCAAAACAATGGCAAATCACTCACCTTCTCGCAGGTGAAATAGGCAGAGCCGCAGACGCTGCGGCACCCTACACAGAGCTTCTTGGGTGTGGTTGGTCCAGCAGGCAATGAAGACTGAGAAGAAGACTGAGAAGTCGTCGCCTCCTCCCTCTTGTCTTTCCCCTGCTTCGCCCCCAGCGGGGGAGCACCATGGTTGATGAGCCCCCATTCCTCCAGGAAGTCAAACACACGGCGCACAGAGCCAACGTCGCCGATAAGGCCCCGCCTGGCCTCGGTGAGCGTGAGCCGGCGCGCTGGTCTTGCCCGGAACCTCTTGACGAGGGTGTTGCGGTAGTACTTGTAGGCTTCCGGGCCCCGGGACCCAGACACGGCCGCGACCTCCCCTTCGAAGAACTCCGGCAACAGGCGGCGCTCCGTGTCGCTGATGCTGTCGTACGAGAACCACCCTGCAAGCGGAACCCTCGGTCAGATAGGGTTCTAGGTCTTCGCGTTTACTAGAGGCGAAAGTGCTGGTGAGCGCGGGACGGGGACTCCGGGGCGGCGGGGGAGAGGGACTCACCTGCGTAGCTAGGGACGGTGATGACGTGCGATGAGTCCTCGGCTGCGGCTCCCACGGCGGCGACTCCGGCGGCGGTGGCGGCCGAGGTGGAGGCGGGAGGGATCTCCGTCTTGAGGGTACCGGCAGTGGAAGGGGGCTGGGAGAAGGGTCGGGCCTTGAACGGTGACTGCGTAGGCGTCGGCGCGGAGTTGGCGGTGGCCGAGGGCACCGGAGCCGGCGGTGTGGCCATCGGAGACGGGGCAGCCGGTGGAGCGCTCTCTCTCGGTCCGTTTCCTCTAGTCTCCGGCGCTGCAAGCGTGTAGTTTGGGCCTTATCTTTTTTACTCGCAACGAGGCCGTTACGTTACGGTTTGGGCCTCCAGAGGTTTGGTCAAAAAGAGCCCAGCTACGCCTATCCCACACAGAGCGCTCGGGAGTGATGCAAGTTTAGTCCCACCTCGCCTGCGCTGAGCAGAGGGAGCCGGGAGAGGTGTATAAAAGGAGAGGCAGGGCAGCGAGAGAACTCATACCTTTCTCGGCCTTTTGGCTAAGATCAAGTGTAGTATCTGTTCTTATCAGTTTAATATCTGATATGTGGGCCATGTGTCCACAACGATATTAAATTTATTTTTTGTGGGGTGGGTCCACCACAGTAGCTTGCTATTGGGGCCCACATGCGTCGCCTGGGCGTTGCACTGCTGCCCTGGCCCGGCGCACCCCAACCAAAGCGAATCACAATTTTGTCAGTCAGGAAAACAGGCAGAACAACCTGTTCTTTCCTTTCAATTTAGTAGTGTTATTATTTGGCTTCTCCACCTTTTGCTATTCTCAAACTAATCGCATACAAGATGTTTTGCTATTCTCAAATTACAATGATGTTATTATTTGGCTTCTCCACCTTTTGCTATTAAAAGTGATGTCAGACATAAGCCGGGGAGATGTACCGCGTACTACTTCGAGATAAGTTCCAACTAAGCAGAGATGCCTAGGCTGCTGACTGTCAACTCTTATACAAGTTACAAATCCCAGTGCCAAGAATACTTTTTCCAACACAGTGCCAACAATACTTGTTTAATCATACCATTTCGAGGTATCATAGTGTTATTCATGCATTCTAATCAACTGACTAGAAGTACAGACCAGCATGCCGCCTGAAGGATTACATATGACGAACATTACAATGTTTTCGCACCACCACTTGACATGAGCGAGGCAGCAGCAGCACCAGCAGTCGGGACGATTCCAGTTGAATTGCCTGGTTTAGAGAGATGCAGCAGCCTGCAACAATGTTCGTGGTCCGTGAGTGACGGTTATTCAAAAGAAGACACGTGAAGATTATATCTAACTGAAGTATCAAAATTCAGGTTGGGGGTACTTACGGCGCTAGATATTCACAGAATGAGGTGACAGCTGAAACAACATCATTGTAATTGTTAGCAGCGGCTGGTGCTGTGATCTCCACCAGCTGTATTCCAGGAGTGACCTGCACAGCTTCGTCGGTCGCATGCAGTTTTGGCATCTTGTTGGCAGAAGTCACAGTCACGGTGAACTGGGCACCTCGCTGGAAGCGAAACGCAAAGCCAACCTTCAAGATTTCATGATCTAACTTGTAGCCGATGCCGTAGAAGTAACGTAACACATTGCTGCTGGCTTTGCTTTCTACGATTGTACGCACAAGAATTGAGATTTGCTCTGCACCGGCACCTCTCATGGCACCACCAACATGTCTTATGGTCCTATACATACAAATATTACCAACTGCAGATCAGTGTAAAAATTACGAGGAAGATTAAATTTCAGCAGCTTAACACAATCAGTTACCAGGATGGTGTAGGCTGAGCTAAATCACACAACAAACGAACCTCTGATGGGACAGCTCCTGTACGACTGAAAGAGGTTAGCAGATATAACAATTGCTTTTTTTGCTAAAAAAGAAACAATTGCTTATGATCCTGACAACAGAAAGATAAAAACTAACCTAGCATTGGTACACTTTTAAGACAGAGCTCATGCACCCTCACACGTTCCTTTGGGACACCAGAGAGGCCTTGGAGAAGAACCTCCAGAGCTTCAACATGCTGCATAGTGCATACCCAAAGGAAAAAAAATGTTAGTAATGGCATTCACATATAAAAACTATAAGCGGTCTAAATGAATGTGGAGATGAATGAAATCACTTTACTGTAAATAAATAACATATAATTATGTGATTCCCCCAGCTGTACAACAATATTTTATATTATATCATAAGTAGTGCTCTCAAAGTGGAGAAATACAGTTGACATACCATATATGGTGGTCAGCATGATCAACCCATCATTTTTGTGATAATACTTTTTAATGTTCGAAATTCATGCTAAGTGTCCATCAACTTGTCATGGAGATAATGAATCAATAAAAACTAGCATTAATTATTATTCTCTACAAACATAAGACTCAGATATCACTTCACACTTAAGGGAAGAAATGACAACTTTATTATCTTCTCAAGTAAACATTAAGGAGAGATAAATCAGCTCAGCAGGTGACATATTTTACATGTAATTCTAGTCCAACACGAGGTGGCTGCACGACCCATGGATAGCATAGATCTTACCTTTTATTTCTAATGGAATAGCATAAATCTTACAGCCATAGAGACTCTTTTCATAAGACAATTGATAAACCAGTGTATACTGACAACTAAAACAACGAAATCAATACCCTAGATGAGTGAAGTCAAATATGTGGGACTGAATTTCCCTTTACTGTAAAAAACCACACAAATTACGTGATTCCTCCAACTGTACATCAAATCTATCTATTGTATTATAATATCAAAAGTAGTGCCCTCAAAGTGGAGCAATGGTTAACATATCGTGGTCAGCAGGATCTAAATATCAATTTTGTGACATTTAACAAAAAAGTCATGTTGATTTTGATTCATTCTGATAGAGTAAACGGTGCCAACCAACTTTTCATGGGGAGTTGGAGATAATGGATCAATGAAAAGCTCTAGCATTATTTATTCTAAATTCTGATGGCACTTCATGCTTATAGAAGAAATAACAAGTTAACCATCTTCTTCCGAACAGATTAGAGATAGTTAACCAGGGTTGAGCTGGCCTAAATCTTAAGACAAGTACAGTTAAAGGGGCCCCTTTTCATGAGAAAATAATTGAAAAATTAGTGTGTGGAGATAGTTATGCTGACAACTCCAACAAAGGGAAATCAATATCCAAGATAGCCTGAAAGGCCAAAGGGCCTGTATGCCAAAATTCGTATCAAATACACATACAAGATAGCACAGAAGGTCATGTCTGATCAACAAAGTAGGTGCATGGCAAGAGGCAACAAGACAGAAAGATGCGCCATCCTACGACGAATCATAATACATGAATACTATGGAGATCATCACTCAGCCTATGTTTTGACATATGATTTTTCCGGCCATTGTTCAAATCAGTCATGCTTTACAGCATCCTTGACAAGCTAATTCCGTATGAAACGGCCAAACAGCATATGCTTTTTTGCAGCAAGTAGAGTTCACTTGCACCGCCCTAACAGCAATGGATAGCTACTGCACACATGAATGAATGACTAGAAAGACACACAAAGAGGCACGGTACCTGGGTCTCGATGATGCCCTGCACCACGCACTCCATCAGCCAGGGGCGGATCCAGACGGCGTGCCGAAATTGTGAAGGTCAGTGGGATTTCACTACTCGCTGGATGGAGACAACCTCAGATGTCAATCCCAATGGCCAAAGACTGGGACGGGGTGGGGACAGCAGGAGCGCGATGTCGGGGCGAGGAAGGACGGAGATGGCGGTGGGGGGCGGGAGGCGGAGGTGTTGGTGGTGGGGATGGGAGCGGGAGCGGGAGCGCGGCGTCGGCGGCGGCCGGTGTTAGCTAGGGCACGGCGGGGTTGACTCGGAAGGGAGAAACCGGGGCGACGAGAATACCAGAAAGCGCAGGGAGCAAAGTGGCAAAGCGCACTAGTTCGGTAACGCCCCGCTCAGGAAAGTTCCGCAGTGGCCCTCGCGGGGGGCGGGAATCCCAGTCCTACCCCTCCTCCTTCCTCTCTTCCACTCCACGCGCACGCACGCACGCCCCGGTCACCTCCCTCGCATTCCCATTTGTTCCACCCCTCTTCCTCGGCCTGTCCCTCTCTCTCTCTCTCTCTCTCAGATCTCTCTGCCTCCAATGACCACCGCCGCGGCGAAGACCAGCGCGTAGCGGCCTCTCTCCCCCTCTCCTCCGGGAGCGCCCCATTCCCGCCATGGCGTCCCCCACGGCGCCGCTGGGCGGGTCCACCCCGTCGGGCCGCGTGCTCGGCCCTTCGCTGGACCGCATCATCAAAAACGCCGCGTGGCGGAAGCACTCGGCGCTCGGCGCCGCGGCCAAGTCGGCGCTCGACCTCCTCTCCTCCTCCTCCTACCACTCGCCCGACCCGACCTCGCCCAACCCCTCGCCGCTCCTCGGCCTGCCCGTCGCCGCGGCCGCCGCCTCGCTGCACGCGCTCATCCTCGCGCTCGAGTCCGCCTCCCCCAAGGTCGCCGACCCCGCGCTCGACTGCGTCGCCAAGCTCCTCTACCACCGCCTCCTCCTCGGCGACCTCGGCGAGGCCGCCGACGACTCGCCCGCCTCCAAGCTCCTCGCCGCCGTCCTCTCCTGCGGCGCCCTTAACGACGACGCCATGGAGCTCGCCACCCTCCGCGTGCTCCTCGCCGCCGCGCGCTGCCCCTCCATCGCCATCCGCGGCGACGGCCTCGGCCAAATGCTCAAGACCTGCTACAACATATACCTCAGCAGCAGCAGCGGCGCCAATCAGATGTGCGCCAAGCTGGCGCTCGCGCAGGTGCTGGTCATCGTGTTCGCGCGCGTGGAGGTGGACTCCATGGACGTGCGCGTGCCGACGGTGTCCATCACGGACATGATGGATGTGTCCGATCACCGCCTCAACGACCCCGGCATCGTGCAGGTGGCACAGGGGTTTATAAATGACGCCATGGAAGGGAGTGACGTCCCGGAGCCAGGGACCCTGGGGGCGATGGCTGAGGCCGATGAGAAGGATGATGAGGGGATGAGCAAGATCAGGGAGGATGGGTTAGCACTCTTCAAGAACCTCTGCAAGCTGTCAATGAAGTTCTCGACACCAGATAACCCCGAGGACCAGGTGCTGTTGCGGGGGAAGGTGTTGTCTCTCGAGTTGCTCAAGATGGTTGTGGACAATGCTGGACCATTCTGGAGAATCAATGAAAAGTATGATCACAATTGCTCTTGTTTCCCTTTATATGCATTTTTAACAATTTAACTTACTGCATTATCTATCAACACAAATATTGTTACTGCAGTCAATTGGAAGAGTGTTGATGGCTCAAACAACTATGTGAAGGAAGGCATAAAATAGGCAATGTAGAAACATACACTAGTACTAGCTCATGAATTCACACCTTTTCTTTTATTAGGGTATATTTTTATTTTGATCCAGGTGTGATTTGCTTATGTATCTCTCAACATGTTTTTATGAGTTTTGTGGTACGTATAATCAACATGATAATGTGGCATGGGAAAGAAAATATGGTATTGGTTTATGGTAATAGATGCAAATTTACAAGACTTTGAATCCTTGCTGAAAGAGTTAAAGGTTATATAGCTATGGAGGTTCAACAGAACTAGTGTGATGTCTGTGCCGTATTTTGGTATGGAAAAACATATGTGCCAACTCGTTACTCCATGCCCTCTGCCCCGCCGTGACACTTGGCTGATGTCAGCCCAGCTTGTGTCATGCCTCTGCCACTGTGAGCGTCCTATGCCACACCCTTTGCCTGCCCAGTGCCCACCAATGGTCATGCTTTGTTCTGGCCCATGCCATGACTTGTGTTGAAGTATTTGCTTGTTTGGAGGTATTTTCTCCTTCCTTTTTTTTATAAAGAAATTTTAGGATGGTTGAAGGAGGGTGAGAGCACTGAATGCAGTAAGTAACCACCACTGCCGCTGCTCTCCGAACTCCACTATTTTGTAGTAGTATAATAGAAGATGTTCATCATCTAGCACAAGGTAGAGAAATGGCGGTGGCAAAAATATGTTCTTTGTTCAGCAAACTTCTTGCAAGTGCATACATGGAACTTTTAACATTTATGAACGTGTATCCATGAAAATGGGAAGGAATAATTCCAACAGAACAATCAAAACCCTGTGTGGTTGAGGTTGTGATTGTACCTGTACATGCAGGATATGAATATGGCTATTCACACAAATTCTGGTCAATATAAAATTATGTAGGAGAGATTACTAGGTTTTCTTTAGTTATTTTTATAAAGGAACACCCCATTTTAGTGTGATCTTGACAAGAGAGTTAAACTTAAATACTGAAGTTTTTTTTCTTTTCCTGCAGGTACCTTGGAGCAATCAAGCAGTATCTTTGTTTGTCCTTGTTGAAAAACAGTGCCTTGTCAGCAATGAGTATTTTCCAGCTTTTGTGCTCCATATTTGTGGGTTTGCTGTCAAGATTTAGATCTGGGCTGAAAGAAGAAATTGGAATATTTTTTCCCATGCTTGTCCTAAGGGTTCTTGAGAATGTCCATCAGCCTAGCTTTCTGCAGAAAATGACAGTTCTAAATTTGTTGGAGGACATCTGTAAAGAATCTCAGGTTCTTATTGATATCTTCGTCAACTACGATTGTGATGTTGATGCACCAAATATTTTTGAAAGGTATGCAAATATCGTCCTGATGTGTAGTAAATTCCAGTTATGCTGCAAGTTATAAAAAATGAAAACAATAGAGGGCTGAACCTAGTTTCATGGGCCAAGTCAAGTAAGCAGGGCTGAAGACAATTTGTTTGTTAGTTTTTCAATCTTCTTCCTTCTATGCTTAGATTAAGTGGAAATGACCTACTTGATCAGCAAGTAAGCGAGCGGTAGTTCAGTAGAACCCAGAAAAAATAATACTCCCTCCGTCCGAACAAGCTTTTTTGACGGAGGGAGTATGTGTTTTGCTTCAGCTGAACCTTGTAGTCTTAGCTTAGCCACTACCAAGACAAGGTTCTTATGATATCTTTGTGAGCTACGATTGTGATGTTGATGCACCAAATGTTTTTG